GAAACTTTAGTCGCAGGATGCACATGGTTCACATGCATGCGCGCGCTTGGTTTGCCTGGGAAATAGGCGCCGCAGTCACAGCAAATCACTGGATGAGCGCCAGCTCGATGGAGCGGTAAATGCTTGGTCAGGCCATCCTCCAATTCAAAAGTGCGGGGACAGTGAGGACAGTCCCAAGTGCGGTCACGGTAGGTACCCTGTTTATGGGACTTAGCAATATGCCAAGATAAACCCGATTTAGTAGTAAAGCGACGACCACATCCCGGCAGAGGACACTCATGCGGACCTTCCCCACCTTCAAGGGCTGGGCGCTTGGCCCAATACTTGTCCACAGCACGGTCGGGCATGTCAGCAGCACGGTCGGGCGGTAACACGGACCTAAAGAAAGCTGGAGGGCTGGCTTGCTTAGATGCCAGACGAGTGCGTCTGCTAGAAGGCGGGAGCGGTGACATCACCATAGGGTCAGCGGAGCGGTTGGCCGCCAATTGTTTGGCAGAGAATACAGACATGGAGAAAAGAGACAAGTCAGCACCAGTAGCAAAACACCGGTCCCAGTCCGGACGAAGCGAAACCAATTGGTCAACTACTTCCGTAACTGGCAGATAGAACCACTCGGTTCCCAAAGCTGTAGAGGCAACCTCATCTATGGCAAGCCAGGGGGAAGCAGCAGGCGCTAAGCGATGCTCCCAACTGAGAAAGCCTTCATTGTTTTGAATAAATGCGTCAATTTCGCGGCAGGCTCGAGTTAGCTCTGCGGCACGACCCCTAGAGCGGGTTGGAATGGGTGCGGCCCGGATAGCAGCAAGCTCAGCAGCACGACACGGTGGAGTCGAATGAGGCACCGGAGCAAACGGAGCAAACCAGCAGGCCACTAAGCGGGTAGCCCTCTTCCAGGGCACGCCATCATCATTGATAGCGAGTTGCATCCAGCCAGCCAACGGAAAACCAGCAACCTTGAGGCTATCAGCGAACGCGTCACGGAGCCGCTTACCTCCTTGTAAGCCGGGCAGGCGGTGGGTTCCAAGATCCTGCGGAAGAAAGGAGAACAACGCTTGTTTAGGCAGGCGGTCATTTGGCATCCGGGCCAGGTGACCCATCCAGCGCAGCCGAGCTTGATGAATTAAGTCCATAATCGTGGGCACTCCCAGGAAGCCACGAATATGTTCATTGGAGATTCCTTTGAACTGTTGGTCCCAGCGACTGACGCGACAGATTTTGCGGAGACAGCGCATGTGAAAAGATTCCAAGCGGAGACGCATTTGAAACCACACCGTCCAGGAAGTGGTACAATGTACCCTGCTCGCCAGGCAGTTGGTAGATCAACAGCCCTAAGCCAAACCTGGACCAAGTGTTCATGGAAAACACGCAGGTTAGGGAGCGAGAGCCGACGAAGGACGTCCCCCACCAGGCCATCAGGACCACAAGCCTTACGCGGTTTCAGACGGCGCACTGCGGCCACAGTCTCCGCGAAGGTAGGAACAGCACCAAGGCTGGCATCAGGAGACAAAACAGCAAGGCCGGCCACAAACTCCGGAGTCACCGAGGCAGGAACATTGAGCAGGTCAGCGAAGTACGCACTCCATCGAGCGAGACGCCCAGATTTGGTGTGAACCCAGTCCCCAGCCGAATCACGGAGCTTGGGGATCGGACGATGACCAGACGCAAGCACTGACCGTAATTCCCGGAACCCAGCGAATTGAGATTGCGGTTCCTTGGCATCGACAAGAGCTTGAATGGAACCCGCTTTATTGGCCCACCAGGTGTTTAGCACGGCCGCAACTTCCCGTTTACAGGTGGCGCACACAGCACGGAACTCGGCCTTGGAGCCACCCTGCTTCCAAGCGGCAAAAGCGGCCTGCCGTTTGCGACGGATAGAAGCGAGGTCCGCAGCATGATCGAGTTTCCATTGTGGACCAGCCGGCGCCAGACGAAGGCCAACAAACTGTTCCGCGGCCTGACGCAGGGCATGAGCCCATGTCCCATACTCATCAAGCAAGTCATCTTCAAGGAAATCAGCCAGACAGGAGTTAACAGCATCAGCCACCGGTGCATCTGACAGCCTGTGAACCGCAAGGGCAGGCAGCTTAGCAGTTTCCGCGGGACGGCGTCCGCATCACGGTGGCATGCCACTTCGCAAATCGTCCTTGCTCAACTTTCGAGGCATTGGCTTGTTGGTTTCGGTAACAAAAAAACCTCCTACGATTTTGAATTTTTGCAAATGTTGGAAGTCCTGAAGGATTTTATGCTTCAGGCACGGATGTCCGAAAGTAAAACTTTTCGTGGTGGCAATTTCACCAAATTGAACTTCCTCCAGAGCACGGACAACGCGATCGAATTTTGCGACGCTTCGCACAAGTTCTTCGGTTGATGAGGAAACACAAGTGGCCGAGACATCATCTGCATATGTAGGCGCAACCACTTCCGGGCATTGAATCGACGCAATATCTCAAACACAGGAAACAACTGCATTAAGGCCTATCATAGATAAGGGGCAACCTTGTAAGAGGCCATGATTAGCAGACCACCAGGGGCCACGAACCTCTAAGTCGGAAAACCCTGTGCAAAGAACCGTACATGGCTTTGAGTGGATTGACAATCCGCGGGCGCGTTCCCCTTGCAACCAGGGCACTGAAGAGCAGCGCAAAAGGTACCAGGTCGAATGCCCTCCGAAAGTCGTAGGCCACTCCTCCTGCGGCGGACCGCTGCTCGGGGCGCAAGGCCATCTGGAGGCACATGGCCTCAGCGCCTTGCTGCTTACGACAGCCCCACACTTCATGGTGGCACCACGTCTCACGCCACTCAAGGGACAAGTTAAATCTTGCTTTTGCCCACAATCGGTAGATAGCACTAAGGACTGATATGGGTCGGAAGTCTAGAGGTTTAGGGGACTCGGACATTCGACCCTTGGGAATTAAGGCAGTATATGCTTTGCATAGAGGGGTCGGCCAAACAGAGTTTATTTCAATCCAATTCAGGATATCTGCGAGACCGTCATAGAGTTCCGGGAACCACTGACTAAGAGCAATCAAGGACTGCGGAGTCCAACCGTCTAAGCTAGGGGAGCTACTTTTGGTACTGGCAAGTGTGTTTACAAGCTCTTGGCCCGTAAGTGGAGAAAGTGACATTGGTGATGATTTCATAAAAGGAACGAAGTGCTCTGTGAATGTGTTGACATCAGGCAAACTGTGAGCGAATTTTTGAAAGACCGGAAGCCAATCGTTGTGGATAGCCTCTAATTGGACGTCAGTGTTGGCTGTATACAAACCTGACGATAATTTCATGGTGATATCTTCAGGAGTGTGAGATGATTTGAGCCATTTATAGGCATGCTCTTCAGAATGTGCAATGTTTTGCTTCCAAGCTTTGATCCTCGCCTGCTTGTCACGATTCTGGGAGAATTTGAGACTCCGTTGGAGAATCTGTTCGCAAGATGAGAGGGCATCTGGAGTAATAGAGCTGCAAACATATGCGGAAAAAATCCGTCGGTCATTGGCGTCAAGACTAGGTAAGACTTTGTGTAAGTTCCTCCAGGTATTCCAGCTTTGTACGCCATGATGAGGCGCTCATTGCAACTCTTGAACGCGACCCAGTGCATCTGCGATACGTCTAGAGTGCAAATTAAGGGAGTGTGCGTCAGCTTGACGAGGAAAGAGGGACTGTTTCTGAAAACGCACTTGTCCGCGATGCTTGCCGGTGTCATGTAGAACATCTGAGGCATGCGTATGGGGAATTTGCCTCAACAAGTCTTGCACAAGGTCGCACCAGGATTGGAAAGCAGCATCAATATGGTCCTTTTGCAGGTGTTGTCGGATGTGAGTGGTACGATCGATTGGTTCAGGAACGTAGTGATCGGGCGGATTATCATATGGAACGGGGATGTGACTGTGTGGTTGCGAAACCACGTACCGGACCTGTTCATTACGCGGCAAAGTAAAGGTGACATGGACTTCGCTATGGTCTTTGGGTAAAACACCAGGAACAACCTTGTACGTTTCCAAAAGGTTGAAAGCCAGCGAATTGGTGAACACGAAGTCGATACGCGAACCGGTCTTAGTATGTGAGGTATTTTTTGTTGTTTCTTCAAGACTACCGAGTTGGTGAGCGTCAAACCACTGGCATGTCTTAAGCAGTTTTTTGAGAAGGCGACTTTCGGAAATTTGAATATTAAAATCCCCAACCACACACACACAGGCACCGAGCCCCTGCTAGCAATATCAAGAGAGATGTCGGATACCATTCCTTCAACCTCGTCCGTTTTGGTCTGTTCCCACCTGGCTCCGGAGGGGCCATACAAAATGTATAGATTAACATCCAAGAGCAACCTACCATTCTTATGGTATTTATCGAGGGGTGTACTTTCTAGAAAACAGTCTTACTTTGCCACAAGGAACCTTGTTTAATCAGGGCCGCGACCCCGGCCCTGTGGATCCTTGCTTGACAGGCGCTCCCCAATGAAGGTGGAAATCCCTGGCCACATAGGGCAGGGATGTTTGCATAGCGGCGGCGCAATGGGTTCGATTAGAGCAGTAAAAGACTGACATCGATTTAGATCCCAACGACCTTCGGCTGAGAGTCCATTGGTATTGGCGACGCACAAATGAAACCTGGGATGGTCTTGCTGGCGAACAGTGTTGCCATGCACCATGCGAATCAGCTTATTTCTCTCTTTAGGCGCAAGTGCCCACAGTTGGACGAATTTAGGGAAATGCCCACGCCCTGAATATTTAACAGGCTGAGAAATATTAGCACGTTTGCACAGAAAATCTTCTGTGAAAGAGTTCCAATATTGCCACAGTCGGTTGGGATCAGAAGCTTGAAAAGCCGAGTCCCAATTATCAGCAAAGGAGTGAAAGCAGGACTGAGCCAGTTGCTCCTCCTGTGGCGCTGGCAATAAACACAACTGGTCAGCAGTGAAATCCTTCGGTTTGATTGGCTGGTTGTATAGAGTGCGAAGCGCTGCAAGAGACACCTGCACTTTAACAGGCAAATGCCCCGGCAATCCACAATCATCCAATGCACGATATTGCTGAAAGTGACGCCAGCAGTCTTATTGAGAAATACGACATCCAACCTGCGAGGAGAACCATGTGTTGGATAGTGTGTTGGGCCCAAATGTCCTGCAGCCACGGCTGCGTCAGTCCATCCATCCCTTATACAGGCTTGTCTACAAGTTTCACTGTCTTGTGGTTCACAATTGAGGTCAGCCAATAAAGGAAGATCACGATATAGATGCGCTTCAGCTAAACATCATGAAGCGAAACTTCATTGAGCTCATAAAAGGAATTAATTGAGTATTGACCACTATGTCCATAAAAAACAAAGACGCGCATGGCGCGATGTCCGGAACCGTATGGCGCCATGACATGCAACCACCGCTTTGACTGCCAAAGGCGAAGCCTCCGTTCTGAACTACCTAAAGGAGCGATTTCAGCACACACATGTGGTTTGAAAGCCAGAGCAACGCCCCCTTGTTGTCCATTGAACAAAGTACGAGCCACCCTTTTCCTTTTGGTGATTTGGGAAGAAACCGGGTGTCCAAAAATGAGCTGATATCCTACATCACTTAGCTTGGACGCCAAGGCAGTGATCCCAGTAGCTGTGTGTCTGATTTCCTGGATGCCAATGATATCAGCGAAATCAAGTAAAGTGTATTTTCCGTAAAGAAGTTACATTGCAACTTGCGATGGCGAGTGAAGAGCAATAGGACTGAGGGATCGGAAACGGAATCCAACTTAGGCGCATCAGGCAACTTATCTACCAAATCCACGGCGGGGACAACATTCAAGGAGGGAGAGACAAGGACTGATGCGGGAGACTTGGGAAAGACGGCATCATAGCGCACAGAAATGTAAGCCAACAAAGGCGAACAATGATTTTGCCCCGAAGCGACAATGGTAACACCTGAGGCAGAAACGACCCGAATTTCGCGATTCAACAAACGAGCAGCAGCCATAAGAGTGATCTGATCACCCCATTCTGCAGGTTGCGACATACGTCGAAGGTATGAGGCCACGGAGTCCTCGGCAAGAAAATCAGCAAATAAATGAGAGTGTAAAGTAAATCTGGGAGCGCAGTTGGATATGGTCAAGGTTAGTATGAAGGGACCAGGCATGAAACTGACAATTCCCATCAGCGGGAACTGGGATGCGTTCGAGCTTGCGAGCACCAAGCCAAAGATCGGTAGATGCCCAAGATACAGCAACACTTTGTTTGCCACGCAAACGTCGACCACCGCCACTCATCCCGGCGAAGGCAGTCCAGCTGGCGCCTTGGCCGAGGCAGCTGCATCGGCGCGCGTCGATTTCGACGGTGGCGTTTCACCGGTGTGGGATGTAGCAGCACGACGTCCAGCAGGACGATTGTCCAGGCGATCCAAGATCTGAGCAAAGCCCTGCTGGAGCTGAGTCTCAATGCTTGTGGAGCGAGCTTCCAAAGTGTCAAGGCGGCCTTCAACAGCGACAACACGAGCCAACAATGCGGAAGGCACCGGAGCAGGAGCGATAGAGGTCGAAGAAACTTCAGGTTTCTTGGGTAGAGGGGCACGAGATGAGGCACGTGACTTCGGCGCAGGCCGATGCACAACTTCAGGTTGAGTCAACACACGGCATTCCTTGCAGTTGTAGAAGTGAGCAAGCGGATCGGTATCAGCTTTGACAAGCCCAATGCTTGACAGGGATGATGGCCCATCCGGTTGTAGTACCATGCTTCCATTCAGAAAAACGCTTGATGATCTCTGCCCGGGAGCAGCCCATCGGAAGCCCCGAAATCACAAAACGCTTGGCACCCTTGATTTTGAAATATTCGAGTCACAATATTTGGAATCAGCCGGAGAGACCAAACGACGGACAGCGTCCAAGGAAGTAGATGCACAACGAACACCAAAGCTTTCTTTACTCATGGCCAAGCCCAAATGTCCTTCTAGTTGCTTGATCAGAGTCAGCGCCTCAGGGTAAATTCTTTTGCCAAGCCAGACAACAGAGCTAGTAGAGTCCCGAGAAGCACGCGCAGCATCATCACGACATACAAGATTAATCAGAAATGGCACAAGCACGCCAATTGAGGCTTGATGCTGAGTGCCTTGCGACCACTGGCCGTCAAGGCTGCCACTGCGACACCAGCCACTGCAAGGGCGGCCGCTTGGCTTGGCGCCTGCACGCTTGGTGTAGCTGCAGCAGATGAGGCAGTGGCTCGAAGGTGGCTAGTGCTGGTGGCGGGCGCTGACACGAAGCTTGCTCCGCTCAAGAGTGCTACTGCGCCTGCGGCAGCAGCAATGGTAGTCTTGGAGGTAAATGCCATGACACGTAAAAAGGATGAAACTTGTTGAACGTATTGGCCAAAAATGAGAGC